TAATCAAGCGAAATTTCAATATGTGTAGCATGGGTGTATTGTGGATATTTACCAGTACTAACCTGCAATCTGATCATGTTCCAGATATCCCAAAATGCTTGAACAAAAAATCAACTGGAAATACGAATGATGGTCCTTCTAGGAGTCCTTTCCTTTTTGCCATGTCTAAAGTGTACGAGCGCTAATATCGAACCAAGATTAGAAGAAAAACGTGCATAAGTTCCGAATAACTGCAGACGTCACAAACTTGCTTTCAGCAATCTACAAACGCCTTCCACTAGTTATGTGGATATTACTGCTTTGCAGTCAAATAGAGTTGGATAGTGTAAAATATGCTTCAGTTAAACATATCAAAATTTCATAAGATTTGCTCCACTGAGAAAAAAGTTGCGGCCCAAAAAGGCTTGGTCGAATACTTTTGAGCGCTACTGTGTATAGTAAATGTACTATTTTATGATTTATTTAACTTTATTGTTATGTTCACTGGTTACTATTAAAATTCATTATTATTTATTTCCATAAATGCTATGTTACGTTAACGAAAAGCATGAAATCGGAACATATTCCATCCTATATTTACTAGTTTATCTCTCATAACTTTATCTTAATGTTAATTTAACATTACAATAGACTACTTTTATTTTACTAACTTAATTATTATATTGTACTACTATTTGTTACAATTTTAAGCTTTTAGAAAAAAATTTTGAATTTTCAATTCCTATATTTGATCTATAGTCATTTGCAAATCATATTAGTAGTTACATTAACTTCGTTTTGTTTAGTTTTGTAAATCTTACTAGTAGAGGGAAAGGAAGATGAGCCATGCATTTGGATCGAAGTGCTTGCATTGTTTTTCATCTCAGACGTGAGCCATTAGCATTGCCTCAGCCACGTCTCAGTATATGCACTAAGCTATGCATGAGTATCCACACTCGTGGTGAAGCTTTACTAGTAATGTTTATGTGTAAGGAAATATTCGATCGGGCCATTATACTACTAGATGCCTTTAAAACAACAACAACAGCTTTGGTACTATGGAAACCTGTTATAAAAAGGAAGCATCTGGAATGAAGTACATCTGAAACGGGGAAAATCGTAGGCGATGAATTGTTGGAATGTGTTCCCAGAACAACAACAAATGACTACGTTCTGCATAATTTTGAATTAAACTAATTAGTAAAGTATCTCCTTTACAATTTCGTAAATTAAGGGTTACTAGTTTGGCCTTAAGCCAACTACTTAGAACAAAGAAAGTTCATTGTTTGATAAAAAAAGTAGGTACTTCAAAATGGAGGGGATAAACCGAAAAGGTGGGAAAATAAATCGATACATGGAAGAAGGAGACGACGATTAGCGAAAACATCATCGCGTGCACGTAAAGACGAAGAAAAAGTAGTAAATGGGAGTAAACCATTGAAAAAAGGGTTCAAAAGAAGAGGTTTCGAATGGAGATTGTAGTACAAGGGACTATTGACTTCATGGACTTCATCAAACACGTAAAGTCGTCTATTGAGTGCTGCAATACAACAATATGGTTCCTATTACGATAGTATCGATCGTAAGAACCAGTAACTATTTAAACAAGTATCAATATTTTCCAACAAAAATCTGGAACCAATTAGTCAACAACAGATGGAGCTTGAGGGCTCAGCCGATCCCATGAACTAGAAGTTGAACCGTGAAAATTCGAAGAAAGGAACCCTAATAGTATTTTCTAATAATCGTATAAATAAAAAAACAAAATGAGAAAAGGAAAAATTAATTGTTCAAGATGAAGAGGGAGGATGAAGAAAGTTCAGTAATTGTACACTTTGCAAATGGGAAAATGTAGTTGTAGTGCTTATCCAATACTGATAACATAACATTGTAGTAATTGATGAACAAGAAGGAGCAACGAACAGAGGATCCCAGGAATGAAAAAGAAGAACGATGATGGAATGAGAAAGATTCAGAGCATGACAGGAGAGAGCAGAAACATTAAAACCCTGAAGAATCTGAACATCGAGAGAAGATGAATTGGACAGAAATTCCAGATTGAAATACTTATAAGTATAGAGTAATATGCAGGTAAGGGGTCACGCTCGTGAACAAAGCTGGTATCGATTGCTCGAGGTTGTAGCGTTCGATCGTCGAGAGGGTATCGACTTGGGATTCGATCCCTCGATCATTCATGGGGAGGTCGCCTTCGCCCCCTCAGAAGGACCAAAGAAAATTCAAAAACTCCCGATTTTCGACTGAATAGACAGAATATAAGAAAAGACGTAAAGCAAAAGATATCTTGAAATAAATAGATAAACAAAACAACAATCAAATACAAAAATACAAATATAATATAATGATAAAAAGTATGTAAGTAAATAAACGGAGAAAAGGCAACAGCGAGGGAGGATTATGTTTAAAATTGCCGCATCTAATGATGAGTGGCGGGAAATGATAGAGTAATAGTCCTATGAAGGTTACAAGTTAGTATTTTGGTAACCAGTCACTACAATGTCATTCACCTTGAGCTCTTTGCCCAGGAGAAATGGAAAGTAGCCCATAGAAGGGAAATGGGATCCCTCGTGACTGGTATTGATGATAGGCCACGAGAAAGCTGTTTTCGACATGGCATGCAGTGAAGGGAAGAACGCACTCTATGGGATCTGGGAACTGCTAAGCTGGCCAGGCTTGCAGCATATTGAAAAAAGAGGAAATCGTTAACATCTGATAAACCAATTCTCAGAGGAGTCCGAAAAGCTTCGTTCAAACCGCTTTTCAACATAAAAGCTCCACCATCAATCACATCCAAATGACTTTGGAGGAATTCGCCCGTGCAACTCGTACAATGCAATTAGAGTAATTGTAAGAATCAACACAACAGAAAGAAAACATTTAAAGATAAATGATGGTGCACGAAATCTCCTGTCTCCCATGGTTACAACCTCTTCGAAGGTTTTTGTCAATTGACTTCCTTGTCTTTTCACCTAATTAATTTCTTTGGACAATATTATTCATTTTCCATCCTAGTCCTTTACACGCCCCCACGTGCCCTTCCTACAAACAGGAACGAGGGCAATCGGGGGTAGGCTGCCTGGCCGAGTCTCAAGTTACGTACTTGAATCGACGATTAGACTTTGAGTGGCCGAATCCAGCACCAGTGTGTATATGGCATTGATCCCAGTGTCACAAAATGCCAACCGTTTCATCACTTTTACAAAACGCTCGGGTATGTTTTTCTGCTAATTCGATCAATAGCTATGTATTCTATGCAGTATAATATGTATAAGATGTTTTGCAGGTTTGTATGCACTTTCCCGAACCACAAAAACAGTGTAGCTGTCATCTTAATGATCCACCACCATGGACGGGTGAAATTCACGGCTTAAGCCAGGTTGGTCTCTACATAATTGGCAATTTTCCAAAGTGGAAAGTTTCGGTCTAATGGGACAAAGATAGTATGGCAACCTCACTCACTGAATTTTATAAGTCGTCTTTTTAATTTTAGTGTAATTTTCAAATTGTTCATGACTATTTCACAAACCAAAAATGTTCACCTTTCAATTTTGTTAACTGCCTTCCCGCCGTCGCACAATCCATGGGTGTTTCTGAAACAGCTTACCTTAGAAAATTGCGAATTTAAGGTTAAGATAAGATTCGAGTTGACTTGGGGACTTCAGCACAATCTTCTTGTAGTGATCTTCTACTTAAATCTGTAATGTATAATAGCTGCCACCACCTCAAGAAAGCACCTTCCGTCTGCAAAATCATTCAAATGAATGGGTGTGTGGCGCATCCTACAGGGGTCATAATGCCACTGAATTTTCCTCATCGTGCTTTTGGTACCGATCACAATGAGCTCAAAAACTAGCATATTTTACTAGTATGATATGGTACCTATTTTCTCTCACTGTGTTGTCTATCTATCCTATAACTGTTTCATATTTGAACTGAATCGTTGTAAATGTATGTTTTTTTTGTCAGGCCCTGCTCAGTGAAACTACAGCTCTGAAAGTATTCTGGTGGATAGTCATGATTGTATGTATAATATGCGGTTCTGTAACTACAACATTGGTAATACTGGAGTACGTGGATGGACCGACAGCCACTTCGACGACAATACGACTAGTAAGGGAGCTAGATTTCTATCACTTTGTCTGGGCGCCATGCCTCTCTGATTTGGACATCCTCTCTCTTTCTCTATCTCTATCTCTTTCTCTTGCTATTTCTCTAGCTCTTTCTCTTTCTCTCTCTCCTTAACCTCTCTTCATTCTTCGTATTGATTATTTATTGTTTATTTTTGTGGGACCTGTTTTCATATTTTCAATGCCTTATTTTAGGTTGAAAGCTTAGAGTTGCCAGCGATTACGATTTGCCCAAAAGTGCCGGATGCATTCAATGCAACTGGCATCCTCGGTGACATACGGGTTTCCTTTCCAAAAATCGATGATGCGACTGCTCTCGATTTGATACGGTAAGGTTAATAATGCTATATATTATATATAACGAGCCAGTTTTTAATATGGATTTAGCTAAAACCCATGCTTTCTGTTGGAATTGTTCTTAGACTCTAAAAAAAATTGAAAACAATTTATTTGAACTTTCCTTTTTTTTAAATTTCTTTTGTTTGGTTTCGAAATACAAACATCAAAAGAATGCTTTTCGAACATTTCACTGAATCTTTCGAATAATGAATACTGTTCATAAAATTCTCAGGTGTTGAAGAATTTTTTTCGTTGTGCTGTTGTTTACTGGACTTCGTTGTTTACTAAGACGTTGCCTCGATGTCTTGTTGTTTACCGGACTTCGTTGTTCACTATGTGGCGTAATGACTTAACCGGATTTCCTAGATTTTTTGTTGGTGGCAATGGTTTGGAAAATATGGATGATTTATCCTATTTCAATCGAACTTACATGAGCTTTTTAAATCAATTGTATAAAACTTGGTCCAACGGTTATACAACCGATGAATTCTTCCATCTCATACAGGTAACCAGTGAATACCAGTTATTGCGATGTTTTTTTGAGCTTTATACTGATTTAGCAAAAATACGGGTATGTTTGCGATGAGCTATTTCGCGAATGTCAAATGGCAGGAAAAATTATGAACTGCTGTAATGATCTGTTTGTACGACAGGTGGTTATGAGAAGAGGAATTTGCTTCCAGACAAGAAAATTCGTTAATCAGGTACTATAATTTGTCAAAATTGTCTTGCCCTACACTGTATTCGGCCCTGCAGCTCGGGTTCAGATCCGGGTGACGGCCCATAGTTCCTAGCGGCATGCCGCGCTGCGAGACAACTAGCTAGGGCAACCAATAGATGACGTATGGTGAGACAACTAGCTAGAAAGCAAGGCGCGGGCTTTATTGAACATTGGCTGTTACAATACGAATTTGGTTCAATACGATTCCTACTTGCCCCACATTTGACGAATTTATTTTCGCTCATTGGTTTGAAACTTCGTTTCTGCTCCTCAGAAACCAGGTCCTTCCTATTGGAATTTCTTTCTGTTCAGCGAGCACTTGTTCGATGAACAAGTAACGTTTTTAAGAAAGACACCTAATTTCTAGTCCAATGTCTACTATGTAAAGTGATTGGACTCAATCAATCTTTGTAGTAGATTCACTCATCATGTTTTTGCCATCTCGCTGGCATCGCCATTATTTTGCTGAAAACTGGTTCAAACAATGTGGTAACTTTTAATAACACAGGGAAGAATCTGAGATCTATCCAGTATACCTATAAGATACTAAAAAAACATTCGCAGTCATTGGTAGCGATTGTGATAAAATGTTAACCGTTGGGCTTGTAGAAAGGGGAAGAAGGGGGTATACAGATTAGAAGTTTCGCATACAAGTGTCCCTCAATTTCGGAACGTGGTCGGACCTATGGCGCGATCCTGAGGATTAGAACGAATCTGTGCGCCTTGTGCATTACTCTGAATTTCAGACGGAAGCGGACGATATCGGAAGGCTCATATTGAGCCTGAAAGCTCCTCCAAGTATCACTAGCCCCTACTACAATTACACCCAAGTAGGTTGCCCAGCAATTTTGTAAAGCTTACAATTAGAAAGTTATGTTGATTGTTTATTTAGCCTCAAATCATTGTATATGTGACGGATAACTTTGAGCATGTTGTTGATTTCCCACGTTTCTACCTATATCCAAATGAATGGAATCGTATGCGGTTCACGGCGAGGTACATAGCCCTTATCGAAAACCAGGATGTTTGCACCCAGAGGGTACGTTTTCTCTATATTCTATCATAAGAAATAGTAAATATCATTAGAAATTATCAGGAACACAAAGACCCAAAAAATGATGTAATGGCTACCACGTAGTTAATTTGTACTGTTTTTAGTACTGTGGTATAGCATGTACTGCAAGCCAGAATCCCCAAAGAAGCTGGGGCCACTGAAATGGACTCTTGGCGCTCACCTTGGATTGTGTTTATAGTTCTATTTATCGTAATTAACTTTTTGTTAGAAGTAAGATGAAATGCGCCAGACGGCCCCGTAATGATAACATGAGAGCGAGCAAGGGGCGTGGTTATTACGGGTGGGTGGGATATTTGAGAAAAACTGGCGATACTTATAGCCAGGATTTCAGAAGCACTGAACATTCTCCTATACTAGAAAATGCAGAAAAGGAAGATGCTTTTGAAACCTATGATGAAACATGTGAAATTCGAGAACAAGGCTCGAATTTCTAGTCTTCTAGGTTTACGTTAGAAGAAAAGCGAGTTTTTGTTCTTTCATCTCTCGGTCTTGTGAGAAATTCGAGGACGCGCTGGTATCAAAGAAAGAGGTCAAAGAAAAATGTGGCTCATGCGAAATACCAATCATTTACTCTGACGCTGGGACTCTTTCATTATGCAGCTGTTCTCCTACGATTTCTTGTGAGCGATATTTTTCATTAAAAATGAAGTTTCAGATATTTGGCAAAGACGCCGAGTGCGTCATCCGGAAATGGCTGCTGTCAAACATCGTGTATCCGTTTAATTGCACTTTGTCATACTTAACAAAAATCGGTGGACTTCCTCCAACAACGGGTGTTTGTAAACCGGAACTTATTGCCGATAACTACTACAACAGTATTCAACTGGTATGGAACAGTATGAACGTTCAGGAAGAGGTTTGATTTTATCACGATACTATTCTAGTATTAGAACCAGCATACAACAATGAGGTCCAACTGTTCTTTTTTTCGAATTTTGGGAGGCAATCGTCTGTCCATCCCCTTCCGCTCCATGGATGGCGAGCTCCTTTTTCGATTTGGTGCCCACGAAACTTTCCTGATATTAATTAAAACTAATACGGGTTCAGGCTAGTCACTTTGCCTTTGCATTGAGGGGATCGGGACCGAAATCGGGGCTTGCGCTTCTCGGGCTGCCAAGAAGCGGCTTTGTGGAGAAATGTTATACCTACTAAGGTGATGATTGGAATTTTAAGCTTACTTCCCATTGAAAAAATGCGTTTCTATTTTGGATTTACTCGAGAGAGATCTAAGGGATCGTCCTGCGACGAATACTGCGACAGGCAATGGAGAGAATTCGAACGTCATGTTACTCGTGCTAATGCTTGGGTGGTATCACCAAAGCGAATTAAAGGCACTGTTCACCATAAAACGGTTTCGGAGATCTGCACATGGTTTGAATTCGACGCCTCCTCTGATACCATTTGTGCAGGAATGAGGTCGGTAAATGGTCT